ATACCGCAAATAGCCTATGAAAAATGTATGGAAGACTGGGTGAAGCGTTGGAGATGTTGTATTGCAAGCGATGGGGCCTACTTTGAAGGCGATAAAATAAATTTAGATGAATAATTTGTATTTTTTGTTTTATTGATAAATTCCCGATATTTAGTACACAGAATGTATGTCACACTTGCCCTGGATGTTTTGAAAGTGTAATAAAAACAATGCTAAGTGAAAAATAACTTTAATTCCGCTTTGTTGCAAAATGTGGGAAGAATGAGGCGGTAGTTTTAGAAGGGTAATATTGTTTTCGTTAGCCTTTATAATAACATTTCAGTCAAGGTGTGTTGAATAGTCGTCATATATTACAAGTTGTGGGTATTGCCTGATTTGCATATTTCCGGGATCAGTACATTTGAAAAGTAACTTTAAGTCTGAAGCCATCCAACCCTTTGGAGTAACCTCAAATGCCGTATTAATTGAATTATCATCAGGCAACCATGTATTCCAGATACGTTCCTTTAAAAATTATTAACGGAGGTACTTTCTGGCCCCAGGCATTGTATGCGAACAATACAGTTGTATTATCGCGGCCTGGTGAGCTAGTGGTTCTTGTGGCTTGAAAACTGTTTAGGCCAATTATTTTCAATTTTTCTGGGTCTTGACAGAAACTTGTTTCATCAAGATTCCATTATTTGATCACCTTTGAATTGTTGCTTTTGTATGTGTGTGTTGTTGTATGGTAATGTGTTGTTCACATCGTTGAACTCGTTGGGAAATACTAGTCGGCAGCTTTTTTTCATAAAAGTTCGTACGTTTTTCAAGAAATGGCATTTAATCAAAAAAACGTATTTATGCCGCATAATTTGCATTTGTCACACTTGCCCCACTGTCACACTTGCCTCAGTCTACCTTACAAAAAACTGCACCTTGCTTGAATAGAATTGCACCATCGTTAAAATGCATCAAATGCAATGGGTCCTTGGTATGATTGAAGATGGGTCTGAGGATCTGAAACTAGAGGTGTGCCCTTACAATGTATGTTCTGCTGAGGTTTTAGTGCCCTTAATTCAAAAACTCATAGAAACGGGCACCACAATTCACACAGATTATTGGTGAGCACGTGACTGCCTAGAGAAACATGGGTACTTCCTAAAAAAAAAACAATCATTCTGATCCTGACAATCCATTTGTGGCTCCAGATGGGACTCACACTCAGGGAATTGAGTCACAATGGAGAGCCGTGAAGAGCTCCGTAGACTACACTTTGGTATTACATAGGCTGCGCTAAAAGTATCGGGAATGGAATATTTCCACTGTTCCTGTCATATTAAAATCTTTTTAATTGAAAAATCCTTGGTTTTAAAAATCGAATACCATTTATTTATTTAAAAAAAGATTCTCGGTCTTGTCACTAGGTTTTGTCAAACTTGTTTAGTCATTGAGAAAATGGAATTGACTCGAGAAAATTCAAGAACGATGATTTATTATGACTTTCGAAGTGGTTTAACACAAAAACAGTGTGTTGACCGGATCATTTCTGCATTTGGTGATAAAGCCCCATCCAAAACCACAATTTATCGCTGGTTTGCTGAATTTCAACGTGGACGTGTCAAGCTCAGTGATGATCCCCGTCAAGGTCGTCCAAAAACTGCAGTCACCCAAGAAAACGTTGATATTGTGCGTAAGCTGATTGAGGAAAATCAACATGTGACATACCGCGCAATTCAGGCAACTTTAGACATTGGCATGAGTCAAATACAAATAATCTTACATGAACAATTAGGTGTAAAAAAGTTGTTTTCCCGATGGATACCGCATTCGCTCTGTGAAGAGCAAAAAGCGGCTCGCGTTACTTGGTGCGTCAGAACTCTCGAAAGATTCCACGCAGGATCCTCAAATGCTGTATACAACATCGTATGAGGTGACGAATCCTGAATATACGCGTACGAACCCGAAACAAAAAACCAGTCACGAGTTTGGGTGTTCGAAAATGAGTTAAAGCCAACAAAATATGGCTTAGCTTTCCATTGACGTCAGTGGAGTTTGGTGTTGATACGTATTTTTACAGAAAGATTACACTATTATAAGCACACACGCAAAGTCTCAATATACGGAAACGCGTAATTTTTGAGAAAAGAATAATTGAAAATCAATTATTCTTGCAATGTTTATGTCTAATCTGCTAATAAACTGGCGCCATTTTGTAATGTCATTGTCGACGTCAATAGGGATGTAGATTCTTTCCGAAAAAGGTCGATTTTTAAATCGATTCAAATCGTAAGTTGATGTATCAGTTCACAAAAAACCGATTTCTAAAATATCTATATTTTTTAATGTTTCTATTTATAATGTAAATATAAACACATTTTATGAAAAACAAGAAAGATACCATGATAAATGATCTCTTATTGAAATTTGTTTTATTTAACAGTACCTATTAAGGCAGATAACAAATAAAATAGGTTAGGTTCAACTTATGTCAAAGAACCGAATTGATTGACCCCGACTCCACCTGGTTACGAGTCTGTCCTACCCCTAGAGTGGTTTTATAGAGCCGGAGACGTAGCAGTCTCAAAATAGATACAGAAATCCTTATGAATCAGTCCCCTTATTTTTTTATGATGAAGGGGATTTTTTTCTTATAAAATGGATTTATATTTACATTATAAATGCAAACATGAAAAAATATCGATATTTTAGAAATCGATTTTTTGGGAATCGATACATCAGCTTACAATTCGAATCTATTTAAAAAATCGATCTTTTTCGGAAAGAATCGACATCCCTATTGACGTCGACAATGACATTACAAAATGGCGCCAGTTTATTAGCAGATTAGACATAAACATTGCAAGAATAATTGATTTTCTCAAAAATTACGCGTTTCCGTATATTGAGACTCTGTGTGTGTGCTTATAATAGTGTAATCTTTCTGTAAAAATACGTATCAACACCAAACTCCACTGACGTCAATGGAAAGTCGTACCCTATTCCTCTCGAGGGACAAAGAACGGTTAATGCAGAATGGTATGCTAGCATTTGTTTGCCACAGGTCGTTTCTGAACTCCGTAAAGAGAACTGCAACCGCCGCATCATCCTCCATCACGACAATGCGAGTTCTCACACCGCACACAGAACAAAAGAGTTTTTAGAGCAAGAAAACATAGAATTATTCGACCATCCGCCGTACAGCCCCGACCAAAGCCCTAATTATTTCTATACTTTCCCTAAAATAAAGAATAAATTGCGTGGACAGAGATTTTCATCACCTGAAGAAGCTGTGGACGCCTACAAAACGGCTATTTTGGAGACCCCAACTTCCGAATGAAATGGTTGCTTCAATGATTGGTTCCATCGTATGGAAAAATGTGTCAAATTTGCGGAGAATACTTCGAAAAGCAATAAATACATTTTTAAATAGTAATGTTGTGTCACTTCCTTGATTCCCGAAAATATCAGTGCCGCCCTCGTACTGTGACCAAGGGGAAATACCCCCGCCTCCCTATTACGGCGATTTTTCTCAGAAATCATTCAATAAAAATTTTAATATCAGCATCACAAGTCAACTGAGACAAAGTTAACTGTAGTGTAACATCGAGATTAGTATGAATGCTCTTTTTGTTTTGTGTAAAGTTAAAAAAAATTAGAAATGAGGATATCCGCAGTAGAACCAGAGTAACCGACACAGCCCAACGGATTAGTAAGCTGATGTGGCAATTGGCCAGCCATATAGCTCGAAGATTGTCGAATCGATGGGGAAGAAAGGTTCTCGAGTGGCAGCCTCGTACCAGCAGGAGAAGTGTAAGGCGTCCCCCCACTAGATGGAATGACGACCTGGTAAGATATTCAGGAAGTCGAGGGATGCATGTGGCTCAGGATCGTGCTTGGTGGCATTCCTTGGGGGAGGCCTATGTTCAGCAGTGGACTTGTGAAGGGCTGTAATGATGATGATTATGTTAAAAAGGTTTGGGTTATGAGTATGTAAAGTACTGCTCTTGCTCTCCTTATCTACAATTAACATTAATTATACTCATAATGTCATGTGGGCTACACTACATCACTACATAATAACAGCATAATATTTGTAGGTTTTTAGGGTCTGGCAAGGGAACGTAAAGGAGGCAGTGGCGATGGCCTAGGCTCTCAGATTTTAGGGGCTATCATTTTGATTGGTATAGTCAGCTGTAGCTGTTTGAATGATACTAGATAAAATATAAAATTATAAAAGAAATTACTGAATACTCTTGCTTAAAATATAACTAACACTGTAGCGTTGAAAATTCTAGAAATAGGGTTAATTTGTATATACATACTTGTTAAGCATAGGGATAGGTATAAAGAAAAACTATTTGTAATAATAATATAATATATTGTTTTATTTATTTTCAAATAGCAAACAAAACCTAAGAAGAGCTTTACCACTTTTATATGTATTAAGATACATCCGAAAATGTAGGCACTAAGGGCCAGCATTTTTGAATTTAGTGGCACCGGGCGGCAGTATGGCATGTTGTGCCACTGACACGGTAGGACGGTACCTAAATGAAATAGTGAATACAATTCAACTACTTTAACCAACTAACGTGTTGTATCTACATTTTTCTTCAGAAACTCACGAGAGATTAACTCATAAGCATTTAAATATTAGCAGCCAAAATGATAGTATTACATTACTTGTTACCCATAGGTAACAAATTGCTCAGTGTAATACGATATGAGACCACGAGAGGTGGTATTCATGTGCAATAACATAGGCTAAAAGAAAAATATTTTCAAACAAAATATACCGCACACACTGAAGTTTCTTGTAATCAATTTAATACGTGTTTCGCTATATAAAGCTAGATAACGTTACTGACGTCGGAGGTAAAACTTTTAATATGACAATGTTCCCAATGCCCCTCTATAAAACTTTGAATCTGTTTGGAAAAACCTCAATATGATCAATTAACATATATACAGTTTTACAAATATTAAATACAATCTTAATCTACTCTTACTACACTCTTAACTTAATTTAGTTCAAGTTCTTTAAAGCGTGCTTTGAGCTGCTTAGTATAGCTATCAAGCCGGTATGCATTTATTTCAAACTGTGAGACTTGAGCATCTATGTCATCTATTTGCTGCAATAATGGCGTGATTTGATCATTATCTGAAATATAGATTAATAAAGTGGCATAAAGGTCTGCAATATCAAACATAACATATAGATTTTAGAACTTTAACCATGACATTTTAGTATTGTATTTAATAAAAGTATACTATCCAAATTGTAGTATAAATAGTAAGTCCAGTATAATTAATAAGTTATAAAACAACACTGATATAAAACCTTTGAAGTTATTAAGAGCAATGTATTATCATAGCCAATTCAGTTTACAGATGTAATATATATACAGATGTATACAGAGATAATAAATTGTCTTTGTGTGGCAAAACAAAGATATGTTATAAGTTATACACTTGAGATTATATTTAACAAATAAAAATATTATTTATAAATTCTTTTATTATCAACAGACTCAGAATTAATAATTTTATACATAAGTATACTACTTTTTTTTATAACTCATTTTTTTTGTTCACAATGAAAAAAAATGTTCTTTAAACATCAGTTAAGACATGTTGATGTAAATGAATAATTATACTTACACATTTCATTGTATTCATTCAAAGTTTTGCTCAAGTTCATTGCCAAATTTCTGAGGTCTGCATATTTAGTGATAGCCAGTCTATTTATTTCTTCAAGGAGAATATAATGTTCCTGAAAAGGGAATATAATTATAATAATATTGTAAATAAAACTGAGATAAATGTATCATTCAATAAGCGCCTATTTTTCACATTTCTATAATGATACATATTACAAAGTAAGCTAGTTTCTAGAACAGTAATAAAGAAAGGCATTGACGCTCGGGCATTCTTGGGCGATAAGAAGCGCTGCATTATTCTCATAGATACAAAATAGAAATATTAATATGATAAAGACAAAGCATTGTGCCAAATAATGGGCTTTACTCACAGAAATTCACATCAATTTCAGAAATGCTATAAATTTGCTCTATATGTTTTCACAAAATGACAATAGGAGTTAGATATAGAGATATTGTCATCACCGTCATCATCATAACAGCCCATCATAAGTCCACTGCTAAACATAAAAGGAATGTCTCAAAACACAGTCCTGAGCCACCTGTGTTCATTGACTTCTAGCATCTATTATTAGGTCATCTTTCCATCTAGTGTGGCACCAGCGCTGTCCTATCCTTTGCTTACGGTAAGTTGCTACAACTCGCTGACCTTAATTTCTCATCAGTTGTTGTTTCTTCAACATGGTTACATTCTAAATCTACAGTTAAACTTTCACACTATAATATAGAGGTGCGAGCACAGCACGGTCTTAAATTGAGTAATTGCTTATCCAATTGTTAACAAATTATGAACAAAGAAACTCTTAAATTCTAGAAGTAAAATTAACGCAGTTAATACAACCCCAAAAAATTTTCAATGAAATGAAAAAAAATTGTGAGAATGTGAGTGGATATATTTAATAAATATTCATTCCTCAATATTCAATTCTGAAGAGAACGCCATTATAAGGCATGCAATTAGCTCAAACTAGTTTGAGATGCCCAAACCTGGCATGATAACCGCATACTGTATGTGTACACACTGTGGTGCGGCCACTTGATGAATAAGCTACTGAAAAACTGCTTTTGAAAAATACTTATTTGTAATTTTTTAATACAAATGGAATTATAATAGCTTTAAATATGCAATGAAATGTGTTTAACAGTCTAATGGTCAAATATTCAAGCAATACTAAATTTTAAGATGTTGTTAAGCCTCATGGAGTCACAGTCACTTTGACTTAAAGTAATAAAAGACTCCACGAGACTTAGGAACATTTGGGCATTTGGACATACTAAATAAGGTAGACTCTAGACAGCCTAATAAGAGCTTGTGGTGGTTTTCTAGTAATTAATAATTATGAGACAAATATATGTGACAAAATAAAATATTGAATTCCTTGTATGACAACAGTGTTCTTAAACACACACAAGGAATGTATGCAAAGTCAAAGGTTCTTTTTTAGTAAATTAATTATCATTTCATAATAAATAGCGGAATAATTTGAAAAATTTATTTTGAAAATATACTAAATACTAAAATTTTACAATTATTACTGTACCTGCCCTGCAGCCATTTCACCTTGTAAATAGTCATTGGTACGTTTAAACAATTGGGTTGCTAAGCGGCTAAGGACTGGGTCATGAGGGTCTAAAACCTCAAAGCTTGAACAACTAGGAGACATATGTATATCTGTAAAAGCAAGGCAATTCTATATACATTAACTTCCTCATTACCATTACAAGATTGTGATTATGTAGTCTTTCACAAATCATAGCCAACAACGAAGCCCTTCTTCATATACATAGCACCCAATTAAGTATCAGATTAAATAAAATATAATTCCAGGATAAATCCTATATAAAATAATGATATAATTTATAAAAAAACTATCAAAACTTTTAGTGACAATTTAAAATCCAAACTATATTGCTGTGGCTTGATTACCCATGACAAATGTAAAGAAACCCAAATAATTCATACAAGGCAATCCTCAATCAATCAAAAAATTGCTCAGAGTGAGCTTGACCAATGCCACTTTGACTTTTTATCATTCCTTGGCCCTCACATCCACACTCCTCAAAAATTCTGCTGTCCACCGTGTTTTGCCTGAGGAGGAAAAGGAGAAGTTTGATTACCCCAAGAAGGGCCTTCAGATGTCAATCAGAGCTGATGCAGGTTACAGGTGAGTGTGCAAAAGCATTCCTGAGACCTATTTCAACAATGAAAATGCTACAAATTTTCACTTGCATGGACTAAAGCATTCTTTACACCTAAACAAAAGAGTTGTTACAATGCTGTTTAGTATAACGCAGTCACCCATTTTTGATTTTTTTTATAGTCCACCTGATGGTAAGTGGTTACTGTGGCCCATAGACATCTACATCTATCCTCTTTTGTGAATCAAAATGCAGATGCGTTGTCACCCGTGAGGACTAAGATGGAATGCCTCTTTGGCTTAGCTTTCCATTGACTCCCGTCGAGTTGGGGGTTGATACGTATTTTTACAGAAAAGTTACACTATTATAAGCACACACACACAAAGTTACAACATGCGGAAGCGCGTAATTTTTGAGAAAAAAGTTATTGAAAATCAATTATTCTTGCATTGTTTATATCTAATCCTACCATAAAACTGATGCCTGACGCCATTTTGTAATATCATTGTCGTCAGTAGGGATGTCGATTCTTTCCGAAAAAGGTTGATTTTTAAATCGATTCAAATCGTAAGCTGATGTATCGATTCATAAAAAATCGATTTCTAAAATATCTATATTCTTTTATGTTTGCATTCATAATGTAAATATAATTCCATTTTATGAAAAACAAGAAAGATACCATAATAAATGATCTCTTATTGAATTTTGTTTTATTTTACCAGTACCAATTAGGGCAGATAACAAATAAAATAGGTTAGGTTCAACTTATGTCAAAGAACCAAATTGATTGACCCTGACTCCACCTGGTACGAGTCTGTCCTACCCCTAGAGTGGTTTTAAAGAGCCGGAGGCATGTAGGGGGAGCAGCCTCCGCCTGCTGTAACAAATCGTAGGCATTGGACGAGCCGGAGGAGCAGAGGCGACGAGGGATGCCTGCGATTTGTTACGCTAAGGTGTAGAGGCTGCTCTTGCCGCAGCGCCGGAGACGTAGCAGTCTCAAAATAGATACAGAAATCCATCTGAATTAGTCCCCCTATATTTTATGATGAAGGGGATTTTTTCTCATAAAATGGATTTATATTTACATTATAAATACAAACATGAAAAAAATAGAGATATTTTACAAATCGATTTTTTGGGAATCGATACATCCGCTTACAATTCGAATCTATTTAAAAAATCGATCTTTTTCGGAAAGAATCGACATACCTACTGACAATATCAATAAAAAAATGGCGTCAGTTTTATTGTAGGATTAGACATAAACAATGCAAGAATAATTGATTTTCAATAACTTTTTTCTCAAAAATTACACACTTCCGCATATTGTAACTTTGTGTGTGTGCTTATAATAGTGTAACTTTTCTGTAAAAATACGTATCAACCCCCTACTCGATGGGAGTCAATGGAAAGTCGTACCGCCTCTTTTTCAGTAAAAAGGGTCTCCGGTTCTTTACACTCACCATACGAAACACAGCATTGTTAAGCTGCTATTTTGTGCTGGTATTTGAAATTTTGATGTTCAAATACTTTACTCATACTCATTATAAAAAGAATGTTGGATTACTAGGTCAGGTACTTAAGTACTTCACAGAACTTGAGTACGGGGGGTGGTGGCCAAGCCAGTGTGGTGCCTGGAACCATGAATTAATTTGTAGCCATTGCCAAATCAGGTAACAATTTAGGGCTAGATCACAACCTACAGTTTAGGGCTACATCACTACCTACAATTAGATGGGATTGTAGTCAAGCACTGGCTTACTATCTAAGGAGATTTATTTTTGGAGGGCGTAAATTTCTTCGCTCCAGCCAGCCGGATGGCAACAGCCAGCCCAGTCTTCACAGTGCTAGACAGAAAAGCAATTCTACTACCTAGTAATATTAAATATTATACTATACTATCAAAAGTATACAAATAATTGTATTTTTACAACAATTTCACCTTTATCCCTGGCTTCGTTTGCCCATCTTTCAACGTCATCTTCAGACATTTTTGTTAAATAGAAAATTATCTTCTGCTACCAAAATTACACAGTTCAAATAACACGTTAACGTTATATTTATTAATAGCTTCCGTTTATATTTAGTGTTTGTATGTATGCAAAATATATTCCTTAGTCCTTAGTAAATAGTAATTTTAATAATATTTTTTTTAAACTGGCGTTACGGCTCTGGGTTCTAGCCCTTCCGAGCCTGAAGTTACAATGTATTAACTTCACGATACATTCATCAAAAATTCACTTTCACATTGATTCACAGTTTGTTTACGTTTGCACTATTGATTAATATCACGTTGTTCTCATTTTTATATATCTTGGACACCAGATATAAAGGAATATAATGGTCGAAAGAATTTTTCATCAGCTAATAAACTTTGAAGAGTATCAGGAACTTTATCATTGTTAATATCTTGTATGGAATTAATGAGGAGTAATCTATTCAAACCAAATTGAATGCATTGAAAAATTAGATGTTTTAGATCTCCTTTTGTGTCTCCACAATATTCACAATTTGCATTTTCTTTCATTCCCAAACGATGCAGGTGGGCTACTCTGCTATGCCCAAATCTCATTCGGTTTACAGTCGTAATAAATTTTCTATTATTTTTCCCTTTTTTGTTGTACCAGGGAGTGGCTGGCGGGCTTTTCTGTATTTCATAATACCAAATTCCTTTGGACTTGCTTATTTCTTCCCAGTATGTCTTCCACGAGAATCTCAAGTTCTTGCTTAACAAGGCATATATATCTGTAAATGGTATTTCCAGCATTGTCGAGTGGTCTGAACATGTTGATGAGAATATGTCTCTAGTAGCAATGTCTGCTTCCTCGTTCCCAGTTATCCCAGAGTGTGTGCCCACGTAAAGGTAACAATCTTCTTTATTAAGATTGTTTAGTAAGTTTCTTATATTATATATAATGTAATTTTTTTTTGTAATCCATTTGGTTAGATTCAATAGCTGTTATAACACTTTTTGAATAACTTTGATTTTGGTTCACAGATTATTAACAACACAATAATCAGAAAATTAACAACGTCAAGTTTCAGTTTATTTTCAGTATATAAAAAGTACTCTGTGGTCTATACATACAAAGGTACTCTGTGCGTCAACGTCAACGTCAAGCTACGTGGTTACAACCATAGATAAATATATATGTAGCAAGCTAGTTACAACCATGAAGTTTAACTTCATGGTTATAACGTAAATAGAGGATTGAAGATACTATGTCTATGGGTTACAAGGTTACAATAATCTATGCCTCTATTATATATACACTATACAGTAATCTTTCATCTATGCTAAGGAGTTTTTGGCGGGAACTTGACACATGTAAACTATTAGTGGAAACGGTGAAACAAGTGCTCTGATGGTGATATGATTCTTAAGATAAGGTCTGTCTATTTAGGCGCCTTATGATACCATCGCCAACTGTCAGCTGTCTGTTGGCTAAAGTTGCCGTCAACATCTCCCAAAGGCTGCGCAATGAGACGCATCAACATATTGTGAAGCAGTGTACTATGAAGGATAATTATACATTGTAACTTCAGGCTCAGAAGGGCTAGAACCCAGAGCCGTAAAGCAAGTTATAAAAAAATCTATCTTACGTGATTTTCGTGATTTTGTTTTGTTCTTGTTGTTGTTGATTGTTATTATTCACCAAAGAGTACCTATATTATAATCACTACGTTTACGTATTACGTTTACGGTTGTTACGATCGTTACGATTCCCTAATTAAGGCAGGCAAAGGTCTTAGGTAGTACAGCCTAGTCTAATTTGTAATTTCTTAATGAAATGCTACACAAGTGGCTGATACATCACATGTCAACTTTTTTGGAAGATTTTTATCTACGACGGAACAGAGAAGGTGAATGCGATTAGGGCAGAGAGCAACACGGGCCATAGGCTGATCGGAAAGGAGTAGCCAAAGCGTTTTTCTCCGATATAGAACTGTAGAGGTGTTGAGTGTATGAACACTCAACACCTCTCTCTATTTTTAAATTGTGTTCAATTTTGTTTAATTTAGTGTTTTGCTGATATTGTGCTACTTAAATAAAGAAAGTAAAGTACAAATAACAGCGTTCTTGAAGGCGTAAAGATAGAATATCAAACAAGCCTCCGAGCGATTGGCCACTGAACTTCCATGAACTGGAAGGTAGTAAATAAATCAATTTAAATAAAATGGGTCCTTTCTTTTCAAAGGAAACGTAACATAATACCAAAATAATTTGTCCACATTCTGTTCATAGTAACCGTAACATATAGTGCTATTTATAAAGTAAGATTCGTTCTTTTCAAAGGAACTGAACACACACCTAAGAAATAATTTCCGATAGTGAAAAATAAAGTAAGTTTCGTTAATTTCGAAGGAACTGAATACACACTCACCTTTCAAATAATATCCGATAATGAAGGATGAATTCGTAATTATTTCTGTGTTTCTGTAATAAGAAATTTAATTATAATATTAAATATAATTAATATTAAAAAAAACTTTTTAGATTAGTCCAATGAGAGACCGCTAAAAGAGCTTAAAGGCAATCCTAAGGAACCCATTGGGTAGACGGTCCGTTTGGACTGACAATTTCTTTGTAAGTACAGACATGCCGATCACCCCAGCATGAAATTCAGATATAGATGCGGATATAATAAAATCCAGATCAAAGACTTGTCTTCTGTGACAGAATTTGGTTCAGACGTACACTGCGAATTAGGTGTATTCGTTTGCAACATATAGCCACATCAAGCTTAGATCAAGATACCGTAAAGACCTTTATGCTTATTACGTTATCAGTAATAACGTAATAAGCACAGATATATCACCAACTGTACAAAAATTGGCGCTACAACAATTAATGACTTATAGACTCTGTACTCTCTGACATTCAACACAAACGAACGCTAGTAATTGCAGGTGACATTAATATTAATATTAACGATCCAATGAGTGCACAAGCAGCCAACTATTTAAGCTTGATGGCATCTCATGGTCTATATCCAGCGATATCAAAGCCAACTAGAGGAGTATCATGCCTTGACCACATCTTTATAAAATCTAAGACAAAGTCTTCAGGCCTCGTCTGCAAATCATCTATTACGGATCATGATTTAGGTCTGGCTGAAATTCTTTTGCAAATCCACCGACATACAAGTAAAGTACGCATTATACGAAACGGGGACTGGGAGTCGGTTGCCTCATATATCAACAGTGTGCACTGGTATGAAATAACAAGCGAAAATAATTTTAACACCGCCTCAAACAAATTTAACGATGCATAACATCGTTAAGTTTGTTTGAGGTGGTGTATACATACGCAATCGATAAGTACATGCAGGAAGTTTAAGTAGGTCGCAGAAAGTGCAACATAAAATGCTGGATCACCACTGGATTAATAAGATGCATGAAACACTGGGACAAATTGCATCTTGAATATAGTGCTAATCCAAATAACGAACGTAAATTATTGGTCTACACGCGGTATAGAAACTTTTTTCACACTCTACTGCGGAATATTAAAGCTGAACATAACAGAAAGGAAATTACTGAAAACAAAGAATGTACGTAGTCTTTGGAATAAAATTAAAAGTCTATGCTACTCGTATAATTCTACGTCAGAGTCCCACCCCATGAAACCTATCAAGGATCTGAACAACCCAAATTCATCTTTAGATCAATGTAATAACCATTTCGAAACAGAAGGGGAAGTCTTCGCTAAAAAAAAATAAGTAACTTAGGCACATCTCAAGACCAACTTACCAAGAATCACAGATGTTCAAAATCTAACCCAAACTCTTTCTATCTGCATCCTACTGAGTGAACAAGAAGTGGGCCGCACCATTCACAACCTAAAAACCAACAGTTCTCCAGGATTAGACCATGTCACTGTTATGCTGCTTAAAAAGTCCTGTAGTAATATTATTATTCCTCTCGTTCACATATTTAATTAAAGTCTAGAAAAGGGAGTTTATCCAGAATCCTGGAAAATTGCAGCAGTGTCACCTATTTTCAAAAATGGCTCTCCTACCTTGCGGGAAAACTACAGACCAATCTCTTTACTTAGTATCGTATCGAAAATTCTAGAGAAGATAGTCAACAGGCAACTTGTTCGTTTTCTACATAAAAATCGAATTATCTCGGATAAGCAATATGGTTTTCGACAGGGAAAATCGACCGACGACGCTGTAGCAGCACTAGCTGACCAGATATCACAACACGTGGAGAGTGGGAAATGTTGCATAAGTGTTTTTCTTGACCTGTCACGAGCCTTTGACACTGTCTCTGTTGGCCTCCTCTTGAAAAAGCTAGAAGCCGCTGGAGTAAGGGGAAATACACTTCAATGGTCTGAAACTTACCTTATAATGCGAAAACATTGCGTAAAAGTAGGAAAACACACTAGTAGGCAACTGCATGTTAATTTTGGCGTTCCCCAGGGCAGTACCCTTGAACCTACTCTCTTCACTCTGTACTTGAACGATATCCTCGATCGAAAATTGCCTAATTCAAATGTCATCGCTTACGCAGATGATACAACCATATTGTTTCACGTTATGAAATGGAGTCGAGTATACAGTACCGCGGAACAAGGCCTATCTCGGATTGCCATGTCCTTAAATGTAAATCTACTTACACTAAATTAGAAAAAGACTACATACATATGCTTTTCTATATCTAGACGAACGAGTCCCCCGATTGCTATTCCTTTAACAATTCATTACTGCAGAAACAATTATACCTATCTGCATGTCTGTAACTGTGAACCGATTGCGCGCTCTAAAATGACCTAATATCTTGGAGGTATCATAGATGAAAACCTAACGTTTGATGCCCATATTTCAAATCTGTCTTGTTGTGTGCGAAAGTTCACTTTAATTATGAAAAAACTGTGAGTTTGTACTCCTGTAGATATAATACGTCAGGTATACTTTGCACTAAACCAATCTATACTGCAATATTGCATTTGTGTTTGGGGCCGCGCTGGGAGGACTGCATTTAT